CTGAGCGAGTTTCTGAGTGCAAAGCTGCGTGATTGCATGGGTGAATCGGTCAAGAAGAAATTAAGTTGTTGAGTGTGTGGTTCGTGATTGTAAATGAATGTGTACTTCAAAATAAGTAAATTCACCCGAATATATACAAACCGTAAATTTGTTTTTTTTTGCACACAATATTCGACCCCTTCCAGTTAAAAGAGGCGGAGAACCAACCAGACAAAAGGGACAATATAACATAGACCTGAATTATTCAAATTCTGCTTGTTCCGCGCCTTCCGTGCAAAAAAGCGATCAAAAGAATACCAGAGTATAAATTAGCACACAATTATCGGCGGAGGATTTATTTGATATCTTGGCGTATTTTTCCAAATCTAAAAAATAAAAACGGATAATAAGTCAGGGATCCTAGGGAAATATCATGTTGACTAGGAAACACTGGTCCTGTATACCACCCGTTTTAAATATTTGTTATCCCATCTCTGCCAAGAAAAAGGCAATTTGATTGGATCTATACTAACAAAAATGTTTGTTGATTTGGTTTATACCCACAAAATGCTTATTTGATTGGGTCTATACCCACAAAAAAAGCTGGTTTGATTCGGTCTTTATCCACAAAAATGTTCGTTTGATTTGGTTTATACCCACAAAAAAAAAACGATCCCTTAGCAATATACATTACCCCACGTCGAGTACGCAAAAGCGGCAGAAACCAAGCACACCAGAGAGACACCAAAGGGATGCCGAACGAACCCCGGGGGGAAGCTAGAAGGACGCCAGGGCGTATATGGGTAGGACGCTGCAAGGATGCTGGCGAAAAACAATTAAACCACGCCTACCACGCAAAAGCGACGAAAACGAAGAAACACCGGAGGGACACCAACGGGACGCCGGACGAACCCCAGGGCATATTATCTCATACCTATCACGCAAAAATAGAGGAATCAAGGGACCGGAGGGACGGCGGGGGGACGCCACGGCGTGCATCCGAGCTTTGTAGAAATACGCATTATCCCACGCCTGGCTCGCAAAAGCGGCGAACACCGGAAGGACAGCGGAGGGATGCCAAGGTATACATCCGACCCCTTGGTAGTACACATTGTTCCACACCTGAATAGCGGCAAGTAAGGGGCGGCAAGCAAGGGAGATCGGAGGGATACCAGGGCGTGCAACCAACCCCTTGGCAATGCACATTGTCCCATGCCTGCCACGGAAAAGAGGCAAGTAAGTGTTTGTCTATCTGTGTGCGAGTAAGTGAGTGGGAGAATGAGTGAGCAAGTAGGAGAGAGTGAGTGACAAAGAGAGAGAGAGAGAGAAAAAATCAGTTAATGAGTAAATGAAAGAGAAAGAATAAGCAGCAGGACGGGGAGGAGGAAAATAAGACAGAAAAAGAAACACGATACAAAACTAAAAAGCAAAACCCCACATGTCAATATAACGAACCACAACTCAGTGTCCACATTTTAATTTAACCAATGTAAAGGATATCGAAAAAGAGGGGGAGACCGAGGGATGCCAGGGGGTACGACCAGCCCCTTGGCAATGCACATTGTCCCATGCCTGCCACGTAGAGAAGGCATAAGAGTTGTGTGAGTGAGTGTGAGTAAGAGTGAATCGGTGAGTTCAAGTGCGTAAGTGAGTAAGTGCGTGAGTGTGATTAAGTGAGAGAATGAATCTACAGGGGTAAAAATCCCAGATGTCAATATGGGGAATAATATCCCAAGAGGCATCCGCGGTCATTTTACCGATAAATTTCCACACCAAATAATTTTTGTAAATAATCCATGTAGATGTCATTTTCGCACGCTCGGACAACGAATGCTTCCGATCTTAGAATCGGTTTTCCTCCTTAACATCGTCTCTCATCTTCCTCCTCCTCCTCCTCCAAATAAAGCCCATCATCTTCCTCTCATAATCATTATCCATCATCACCATCACCATCATCTTCAACATTAATTAACATCATCATCAACATTCTAATACATTGTCCTTTTACTCCCCGACACTGTTTGGGGTCTCTTTCCACAACAAGTATTTTTCTTCCCAGCTGTCATACCTGACTACGGAGTCGTGCTCCACCCTATGTCCTCCTTCCGATGCCCTTTTTCGTCCTTTATTTTGCTGATGTGCGAAGATGTGAGAAGATGTGAGATGAGAGGGTGTGAAGATGAGAAGATGTGAAGATGAAAGGGTGTGAAGGTGAGAGGATGTGAAGATGAGAGGATGTGAAGATGAGAGGGTGTGAAGATGAGAGGATGTGAAGATGAGAAGATGTGAAAATGAGAAGATGTGAAGATGAGAAGATAATTTACAGACCCCACATGCACGAAGAACAGGTGAAACCGGATTTACAATGCGGAAGCGATCCGAGCATGATCCGCCCATGATCCGCCCATGATCCGACCACACACGAGACCGTCCCGCAACCGTCGCACCGCAGAGGTAGATCATCGCGGTTCGGGGACGGACTTTGTATGGAAAAACATAGGGTTTCGTGTTTCTGCTATCTCTCAAAAACGCATTTCGTGCGAGACTTCCTTCAAAACACCATCGGCAACTCCTCCACCAGCACCACTTGCAATGCAATTCTAACTCTTTCTTTGACTAACTCTTTCCCTGACATTCTAAAAGTTACAATAAACTCTGTCCCTAACTAACTCTTCGCCTCACCAACTCTTCCTTTGAATAGCTCTTTCCTGACAGTTTAAAAGTTACAATCAACTTTTTCCCTAACCAACTCTTTCCCTCCCTAACTGTTCCTTTGACTAACTCTTTCCCTGGCAGTCAAAGTTACAATTAACTCTTTCCTCAACCAACTCTTTCCCTCATTAACTCTTTCTTTGACTAACTCTTTCCCTTACATTCTATGGTTCTTTGACTAACTCTTTCTCTGACTTTCTAAAAGTCCGTAACACGGAAGTTTGCGTTTTTTTTGCTTCGGATGTGTTTCGGGTATAGAATTCGTAATTGTCCGATGGGATTTACATGCCATATGCAAGTGCAGCTGCAATTCGCGATCGAAGGAGCACAATTTGTAGCAAATTGGGGAGGTGTCTCAGGACATCAAAAGGGGTTCAGATCTCGGGGTAGAGAAAAATGTTTCGAAAAGGAATTGAATAATAAAAATAATATAAATGTAGATGATTTTAAAGATGGTTGATGTGATTGCAATTTTTAGCCCGCAAAGTGAAAATTGAAGTAAAACGGTGTGCAGCGGCTAGCCCAAAAAGCCTCGGCAATCATTGTATACTGGAAATGATTTCGGGAAGTAACATAACAATCTTATTTGGATGTTGGTGAATTTTTTGAAAGGAACTCATAGGATTTGTAAAGGAATCAAAGGATCTTTGCATCAAGACCCGCTGTAGAGGCATTTACCAAATCCCGACAAGAGACAAGAACCCTCAGGAAGTAACAGGATCTTTGTACCATCCGATGTTTGCGTAAGGATCCCATCAAGGAATTCAGACCTTTAAAGGATCCTTGAAGGACATGAAATCACCGAATCTCAGAGTCAAACTTGAGTTTGATTAGAGCTGTTTAAGCAGGGGCATCACTTTTTTTATCGTGGTTGGAATTTCCACTACAAAAGTAGTGGACTTGGGTCCTATGTAAAAATTTTTTTTCAATGGTTTTTACAGTCCCCCTAGGACCATACGACCTTGCATTTTGTAGTAACCTTAGGTCACGTATGTTTCTAGATTTAAACATGGGCTGGTAATAGAAGTTTATAGTGGTTAAGTATGTGAGATAATAGTCGACCTAAAATGGATATCTGAATTTTTTTAGATTTGCCCTGGAAATACTTTGTAGTAAATTTGTAGGGTTCTACGTTTAATTCCCCAAAAACAATTTTGTTCATTTTTTTTTGTAGTGTATACCAAAAAATCTCTACAAACCACTTTGTCATTTTTTTGGATTTATTTTGAAGACTTGGGTGGGATCTAGGTAAAATCACTACCAACATCTATGTGGTTTTTTAAGGGTATCTTGAAGGGCCTTTTGTTAGATTCTTTGGTTTTTGTAGTAACAACGCTGTGATAAATACCAGGCGAATGGTGAGTGGGTATGCGGGAGCATTGTAGGGTGTCAGATGGGTGGGCGTTTTAATATGTTTGTGGGCATTGTACATGAAAAATGCAATGATTGGGGGTTGGGGCAAGAGCTAATTTATAGCTACCAAGGAATTAACGATAACTATGCCCCAACAAGAATCCTCTCCCCCAACAACCACCCCATAGTTTTTTTTTCCCTCTTTCGGGCAAGGCCATACAAAAGGGACGGTCACACTAACAGTACCACTTCAACCATGGAACACTTAAGCGATAAGGGTTTACAAAGGTATGGAAACAAAAAAAGCCACTCCAGGGACCAAGGTAAAAGACAACAACAAAAGAAATTGTTGTTTTTCTGCAAAAAGCTGGGTAAGGGGGGGATAATTAGGTGGAAGGGGGGGGGGAATGTTGTGGGAGCGAAGATAGTAAAAGTGATGGGGTTCGCCTAAAAAAAGGATCACATCTTCTCACATCTTCTCACATCTCCTCACATCTTCTCACATCTTCTCACATCTTCTCACATCTTCTCACATCTTCTCACATCTTCTCATCTCATCTCACACCTTCCTCTTGCCCTCT